ATTCCCTGTTGTATTTCTTTTGGTTTTGGATAGTCCTTGAGAGTTCATTTCCTACATTGGTATCTGGCTGGTACAATCCTGTGTCCTAGATTCAGCCTGTGAGCTGAAGTCATTTGTTCTCAAATCAGAGGACTCCCTTTAATAATTCTTGTAGGTTTGGTTTCGTTTTTACATATTCCCTTAATTTCTGTTTATCTGGAAATGTCCTAATGTCATCATCATATTTGAGTGAGAGTTTTGCAGGGTATATTATTCTTGGCTGGCAATTTTTTTCTTTCAAGGTTTTATATGTCATCCCATTGGCTTCTTGCCTGCATAGTTTCTTCCAAGTAATCTGAGCTTAGTCTTACTGTTTCTTGTCTGTGTTTGACTTCTTGTTTTTCATGAACTGTTCCCAGGATTCTTTGTTTTTCTTTGGTTTTGGTGAGTGTGATTATGATATGCCTTGGAGATTTTCTTTTGGAGTCTGTCCTATATGGGGTGCATTGAGCTTCTCGGATGGCCAGCTTTTCATCTTTCATGATATTGGGGGAAGTTTTCTGTCAGCAGTTCTTCAACGATCCTCTCTGTGTTTTCTGTTTTCTCCCCCTGTTCTAGAACTGCGATCACTCGAAAATTTTTGCTTTTGATTGTATCCCACATAATTCACAGGGTTTCTTCATTTTCCTTTGTTCTTTTTTCTGAGTTTTCCACAAACAGAGTTGTATCTAAGTGTTTGTCTTCAATTCCGCTGAGCTTGTCTTCCACCTTTTCAAATCTGCCTCAGCCCTTCTATGACACTATTTCTGAAATCTTGTTGTTTATCTTTTGGATTTCTAATTGTAGTTTTTGTATAATTTCTAGTTGTGAATTTATTTTGGCATTTTGTTCCTGCATTATTTTCCTGAATTCTTCCCTTTTTTTGCCTGTATTTTCCATGAATTTGTCTGCCTTTTCCATGAATTTGTCTATTTTTTCCTCATTTTTGTCTGCTTTTTGCTTCAACTCTTGGATAATTCTGAGTATTAGAGATTTGAATTCCCTATCGGGTAGTTCTAGTACCTTTTCTTCTAGTGGAAACTCATCTGGTGTTTTATTTTGGATGCCTACTGGAACCATCCTGCCCTGTTTTTGTAAATGGTTTGATATTGTCTGCTGTCTTCGGGGCATTCAGTAGTTATTTTTCTCATTTATTGATAGTAGATTTGTTTGTTTCGCCCTTTTTTTTTTTTAATTTGGCTGTGTCTGAGCAGGTGGGCTGTGGTTCTTTGTTGTTTGCTTCTCTGTAGGCACGATACTTTTCGCCTCCTTCTCCAATTGGCAGGGTCGGTCGCTCAGATATGCTACAGCAGGGCAGGGTCTAGCTGAAGAGGAGTTGCTGGGATGGGTTGTTTGTGGCACTTACTACAGCCACCAGGGCGGATCAGTAATCAGTGCAGGTCAGGTTCCGGTAGGCCATGCCTGTGCTGCTTGGTGGTGTGATGTTAAGCACGTGGTGCAGGTGGGCAGGATGGAGGGGGAAGATTGTGATGTGTGGAGCTAAGATGGGTATGGGAGAGAGTAGAGAGGAACAGGAGCCAAAAACATACAAACAAAAAAGAGTGCTAGGGTGGCTTGCTGTTGGAGTGGAGAGATGAGAAACTATGAAATGGAGAAAAACAAAAAGGGAAAGGGGAAGAAAAGAATGAATAAATTGAAATTAGAAAGAAAAAAGAAAAGAAAAGCTCCCAGGGATCCCACCGGTATGGCTACGAGGTCTGGGGAAGTTGTTCCCAGGTGTTGAAGTGCAGCCTGGCTAGAAGGTATGGAGGTGTCACTCAGCGCCAGGTATTCAGGGGACAGAAAGAGAAGGATAGTATAGAGAGACAAGAAACTGAGTAATGAAGAAAGACGAAAAAGGGAAAAGCAAACAAAACAAATTAAAAAAAAGAACAAGAAAACCCCCCAAAAAGGCAGACAAAAAAACCCCCACAAAAAATGAAGTGTCCTCAGGAATCCCTCTGCGCGTCTGCGCAAGCTGAGGGGGTAGTTCCCAAGCCACGCAGCACCGCCTGGCCAAAACAGGCCCCCAGCTCAAGAAAAGAAAAAGAAAAAACAATTCAAAACAAACAAAAAAGCCCTGGGATCCCACCAGCATGACAGCACAGACCGGGAAGCAGTCCCACACTCGAGTGGAGCTCCACAGCCTCTCAGGAAGAAGCAAAGATGTCCCGGCGCCGGGAGCCAGGCACTCGAGCAAAAGGAGGGAGAGGCGACGAGAGGCAAGGAAGAAATCAAAAGAAGCGGCAAGAAGCAACACCTGCAGCCAACAAATGGCACCCAGGGAGTTGGCCAGTGCGGGCGGGCAAAATCCAAGCAGCTGGTGCTTCCCGGCTAAGAGACCGTGGCTGTGGGAAGCAGAGGAGGCCGAGTGGGGGTGATGAAGGGTGGGGGGTGGGAAAGCGTATATCGTTGGTTACCAGTTATTCTGTCTCCTGCTGGAAGCTCCATGAAGCTGCCTTCTTGTACCCCCTGTACACTGGTCTCTGATACAAGTCCAAGATGGTGGATCCGAGCTGAGTTAGCTGATAGGGGACCTTTGCATGTATGTCTCTTCGCTCTCTGTTCTCTGTCAGTTTCTTCTTCCATTTGGTGCCTGGCTGAGTTCTTTATCTCTTCATTTGATGCTTAGGGTTTCAGGATTGCTGTTTTCTCTGTGTGGCTTAGTTTTTCGGATCTTTGCTGTGGAGGGATGGCGTGGTGCTTCTGCCTAGAGCACCATGTTGCCGGAAGTGGCCTGACTTTTTTAATATCACTGCAAGTTTCATTTGGAAAGTCTTTAAGTTTTGGAAAGCTGTCAAGCTTGTAGTGAATACCGGTTTTCCAAATTTTACTTTTCACATGAAAGCTCAAATTTTATCAATGGTAACAGATACCATCATTTGTTTTCTTGGAAGTGACAGGTACTACGTTAATTTTCAAACAATATTTACTAACTACGCAAGTCTAAATAACTGTAGATTTCTGTCATGTGTTCTTTCAAGTAAAATTGGAATTCCATGAAAAAAGCAGGTAATTCAGCTCACAGCTAAAACAATTGCACAAATGCCTTAGCTTGAGACACATCTCATACTTCAGTGTATAGCTGAAATGTTTTATGCTTGCTTTTCATTTTGTCACACAGAATATTAAAAAGAAATGTGCTCAAGGGTTGAGATTTAATAATTTTAACTACTTCACGAAGAACATTCTTAAGTTAAATGACACTCTCCTCTTCCCCCCACCCTCAGCTCTACCCCAAGAGAGTGAGACAGTGAAGGATACAATGACTGTCTAGTATAGTTTGATTTGTGCTGAGGGTCAGCAGTTTAACCCACCATTGCTCTTGAACCATCACTGCACGTATCAACACATTAAAAAAGCCAGTGACATCTTAGTATTATTATTTAAATAGCTATGACCTCACTGACCCCTTGAGGGGATTCTAGGGACCCCCAAAGGTCCACAGACCACACGTTGAGAGCTCTCTTTTAAAGAAATAGTTGAATTTAGTAATCTCAAATACACTCATCTAAACTATCTTGTTTCACCTAAATAAACTTTTATCTAAATAAATAAGCCTCTTTGGTTTAGAGATTTAGATTTATACTTGTAGTCTACAGTTGTGTGATGATTATGGTACTTTCGAACCCCAGAAAAGACATCTGCTTTGTTAATTCTATTCCCTTGTGTCAGTAGAGTCCTAGTAAATCATTTTTAGAGCAAACTTAATGAGCAATAGTGGTGGATCTGTATCACTGTTATATCGTTAGTACTCTGTAACCTTAAAAAAAGAGAGAGAGAGAGATTCCAAATGTCTTTTATCTTCTTTTCACTAATTGTGGTTATATGCATTTACTAATGTGATAACGCAAATCACCCCTAAACTAAGAAAATTTAGGTCCCAAACCGAATAAAACTGTTAAGCCATGAACGCGCCACAGTGAGATTCCCTTGAGTATACGTAATTGTGATTTTGCTATGATATCTTTTATGAATTGTAGGTGTGATTATTTGTATCTAACGTACATCTGTTTGTTTCTGTTTAGTTTTTTTTTACAGGCTCTGATTGAATTCAGGGGACTTGGTGTAAAGACATACTTCAGACCATCATGAGTTTTACTCCTCATAATTGGGCTTTACACACCCTTAGCTGTTTTCCAGGCCCACTACAGGTAATTTGGTCTTGAATTAGATATTGAATACATGTGAAATCCTTCTTTCCATTCATAGTGGCAGTTTGTCTAAAGAATTAGTTTTGGTGACATCTGAAACAAAATTAGCATTGATTTCCTTCTTTTTTTTTCTTAATCTCTGTAATTACTTCTGAAATCTTTTGAGTTGTTCCTTGCTCTACTCTAGAGCTGTATATGTTCCTAAATCTTTAATTATTGTGGTTTCATCTTAATTGTTAACAGTATTAGATTCTTGGGAGCATCAACACATTACCTGAAAAGCTCTAGTTCTGTAATAGAACCAAAATGGGGAGAAATCTAATTTATCATATTTTTTTTGCAAATAACATACCTATGTAAATAACATGCCCACACATATAACATGCAGAAATGATGAAGTGAAACAGTTCTGGCATAATGTGTGCACTATTTGCATAAAAATATGGTAATGTAGCTTCACAGAATATACATATGCTACACTTAACTGAATATTTAAAGAAAAAAAATTACACAGAGAGAAAGACTATAAACTTTGGTTTTATAATATGGAGAAAAGAAAATCTAATTCGTCTTCTTCCCTAAGAAACGGCATCGCTTCCCTAAAGAAACTAGAGATTTCTTCATTTCTTTACTCATTCTACTCTTCAGATAAAATGTAAGACATGATGAGCCTCTGTTTTCCATAACTTCTAATAGGGCTAGAGCAGTGATTATCAAACTCACACACATCACAAATGGGACCTCATAAAAATTGAAAACTTTGTCCATCAAAAGTGACCAAAAAATTGAAAAAAAAGCTACTGACTGGGAGAATATCTTTGGAAATCATATATCCAAGAAGAATCTAATAACCAAAATGTATACAAAACTTCAACAACTTAACAAAAGGACAAATAACCCAATCATAAAATGGTCAGAGGACTTGAGCAGGCGTTTCACCAAAGAGGACATTCAGATGGCCACCACACGTATGAAAAAGTACTCATCATTGTTAGCCATCAGAGAGATGCGAATCAAAACCACAGTGAGATACCATTTCACTCCCACTAGGGTGGCTAAGATTTAGGAAAAAAAAAAACTAGCAAACACTGGTGAGGATGTGGGGAAATTAGAACGTTATCCATGCTGGTGGGAATGCAAAATGATATAGCGATTGTGGGAAACAGTGTTGTGGTTCCTCAAAAAACTATAAAAATAGAACTGCCGTATGGCCCAGCAATTCCATTCCTAGGTGAATACCCAAAAGACTTGAAAGCAGAGACTCAAACAAAGACTTATACATCAGTGTTTGTTGCAGCACTAGTCACATTAGCCAAAAAGTGGAAACAACCCAAATGCCCATCAACAGATGAATGGATAAACAAAATGTGGTATATGCCATACAATGGAATATTACTAAGCCACCAAGAAATGATGTCCTGATACGTATTACAACATAGATGAATCTTGAAAACATTATGCTAAGTGAATTAAGTCAGTCACAAAAGGGCAAATACTGTATGTTTCCACTTATATAAAATAGGCAAATGTATAGAGACCAAAGTTCATTAGTGATTACCAAGAGTGGGAGGGAGGAAGAAAGGGGGAGTCTTGGCATAGAGGGCACTGAGTTTCTGTTAATGGAGGTGGAATAATTTAGAAATAATAGTGATGATAGTTGCACATGATCAACATACTCAGTGTCACTAAATTATACATGTAAAAAATGTTGAATTGGCAATTGTTCTGTTCTACATATTTTTACCACAATAAAGCAATAATAACTAAAAAAAAAAAAAAAAAAAAAAGTAAGAGGTGGGAAGAAGACTGGGAAGTAGGAATGGAGAGATGATTTGTTTTATAGCGTTCTTCTGTCCTAGAAAACTTAAAATGGTTTATGTGAGCTCAGACAAACCTCGACATTATATCCTGTCAATCATGGCTAGTTTGTTGATCTAGGATGGACAGATTGTAAGATAATTATTAGAGGAAAAAGTCCTACCCTCATCTCTTGGCACAAATCTCAGGGTTTTGTTCTCCAACTTGGCTAGATAACTCTAAGAAAATAAATATACTCATTAATTAAAAAAAAAAAATGTCTATAATATAAGAGTAAGAAGGCATACCTTGATAGCTGTCATGAATCTAAATGCAAGCTTTTTGCCAACTATTTATGCCATCACTCAGCAACCATTTAATAATTGCTGACTTAGTGTTTCCAAGTATGTGGGCCCTGGCTTCTAAAGCCAGAGTGGGAAAAAGAGAAAAACCCGTCCTACAAAGTTTCCATCAGGTAAGTCTAAATTCCAGACATGTCTCAAGTCACTTTGACTGTAACTGGTTATTCGATTTACATGGATAATTTTCCTCTACTCATTGGCACTGTTAAAACCTCCAGACAACTGATTTCCAGTCTTACGGTGTGGTATGATGAGGACCCTAATTGCTTTTTGAAACATAAGATAGTTTTATTCTTCCAGTTTCATCTTTGCTGTTTTGGGGGTTTCAAAATTTATGCTTGCATATTTGCTAGGTTATTTTTATTAAAAAATAAAGACAGTTACAGTTTTACATTTTAATTTTTGATCTCTTCATTAGCCACTGCTTCTCAAAACCTAAGTCACATCACATGGGTGTCACAGACATACCTTTAGAAGAGAGCTACCCCAAGGCAAACCTGTGAAGGAGGAGAGAGTATTTGCCTGGATAGCTTCCAGGCTCCCCCTTTGTGATCCTTCTCCCATTATTGGTACCTTACCCTCAAGTCTCTACCCACTGCTCTCAGGCCACCATCATCCCTCCAGATCCCAGAGTAGGGGAAATTAATAATTGAATGAGTTAATTTTTTAGGCATATCTGCAATTCAAAGGGAGACACAAAGAATTAAAATGAATTTGGCAAATCTTTCATGGCAATTGTTAAGGCCTCAGAAGGAAAAGTATCAGGGCAGGGGCCTTTCTCCAACATAGGTGGTTTCACATTGTCAGTCATCCTATATTCTGTGCAGACTAGGATTAGAGTCAGTACTCTAAAGTCTTTGAACCTCACTTGCTGCATCTGTATCTACTGTCCGAGTTGTGTAGACTAAATGAGACTTTGTAAGTATAAAGTGTAGCATTTTATGAGTGCATGTAAAAACTGGTGAAATCAAGATAAGGCCTATCTTCT